TCACCGCATTCTTAATTTGTTTCAAAACTCAGGTTTGCATTTTCACAACGACTTATTTGTACGTCTCATTATTGTTAACGTGATAACTTTGACAAGTTTCCATTCAAATTTGTTCTCGACTCGTTATAACAGGGTATTTAAAATGATATAGTGACAATCATAAAAACTTCTCTGCTTAAGAATGACTTTTCGAGGCAGTATTTATTGGCATGTCAATAAGTGAAGTAATAAATCCACAGATCACGATATTTCCAAAAAATTCGATCCAATTCGATTTCATAAAGCCATTTCGTAATAAATCCAAATCGCAATGGTTGAACCGATTAGAATTCGAAAGGTTGACAATTGGAAACAATTAACGTCATTGTCTCAATATGGTACCGGTGAATCGGTCATGTTGAATGTGAGAAATTGAAAAGCAAAATGTTTGGTAGGAAAATACTCATGAAAGTAATTCAGCGTGAGAAATTTGAACCGGCTGAAGAAGGAATACCGCGTGAATCAGTGAGGACATCTGCCGAACCGACAACAGCAACACAACACAGTTTCTTCGATTTTAGTTTTCTTCTGAAGTGTTGCCCTTGCAAAGATTTCAGCATTCGAGCACTACTCAAAAAATTCTGCTGCAAATCGGTTTGAGTTTCTTGCTTCTTCTTTTTTTTCTCTTTTTCCCATTTGCGATCGCTGAAGGAAAGGTGATGAGATCGCATACCACCCCATGCTGACAATGAGCTTGTTTTGGTTGTGTTCCACATACTTGCTATGGCATCTTTTCTCAAAGCCGAATGTTCTTTCTGATGTAATTGTTAGAATTATTCTCCCGGGCTTGCGACCGATAGTAAAGGCTATTAGCTGGTTGACTCATTTGGTTCATATTCTATGATTTTTAATGTATCCACTTGACCATGCGATCTGCTAGCTTCGGGCCGAACTCACGGGGGGCAATTTCGCTATAGCTGAAACAACTATCAATTCGTTCATCTGTAAAACTGGCTCATAGTGAAACAATTTATTGTTTGTGCTGAGCGTGAATGGATTAGCGTTCATTTCATTTAAGGGATTTCTTCGACGCGTCATTAATTGTGAGTGTATTCGACCGGCAGTTCAGGGAACAGAAAGTGCTAACGGCATTGATTTCGTGTGTTGTTATATTGGACGTGGTGGTGGTGGAAATAACCAAGCGTCAAGTAACGGTTCGTTCGTTCGTTACCATAGTGATGATTCATTTGTGAAACTGAAATTGCACGATTTCATAACAAATTGGCGAAAGAACTTTTGCTATTTTACGCATATACTGGCGAATGAAGTTTGCATTCTCCAGTGAGGCCGATTCCATTCAACTTCCTCACCTGCATGCATAATGTGCCTCATGTATCTTCAATGTTTTACCTTAATGTTTCCAAGTTCACTGAACATGTCTTATTGCGCCACAATACGTTGCAACACCATCCGTAACCTTTAAATTTCAAAGAATCACAATTATTTTCTATCGTTTTTTTGATTGGTGGTAAGCGGATTCAGATTGTTTCTATAATTTTATTCGATTGAATTTGCCCCTACATTGGCTTCAACGATGCCATTAAAAGCGTCTTCTGATTTTCCCGTTCAACCATTTTTTCGTTATTTTCAATAATGGTTTAATTTTTCCTTGTTTCTTGTTCAACTCAGTTCATAATGGCGGTGTTATTCATCAGTTTTCTGGCTGTTTTGAGTGCCAATCAACAAGTGTTATTAACATTTCAGCCTAAAGCCGTGAGATGACGACCGCATCGAAAGTTGTTATTGAGGACGAGAAAGCTTGCAAAGAGGCTGAACTTTTAACAGATTGCTACTACAACGCAGTTGATCGTATGCGAAATAAAGTCAATTTTCTATACACCGATTCAGCGACCTTATTGTGGAATGGAAATCTCATCCAAGGAATCGATAATATTGCGCAATTTTGGGAATCTGTTCCAAATACTGAACATTCGTAAGTTTATTCTCATCGAACGAATTATGTGCTTGATAAAAATTATGGCGGAGCATTCTTTAGTCAAATGGTAGTCTTCGAAAAACACAATTTGGTGGTTATGTACTTCAGCTTGATAAAATTTCAATCATTTTTAAACTCACTGCTTGCAATGATATAGATTCCTTATTCGCACTGAAGTAGTACTATGCAATATTTAGGATATCATCGTTGAATTGTCAAATGGGAAGTGAAGAAGTGAATGGATGTATTCCGATAATAGTGTTGAGTGTTGGCACGGTTGTGATCGGTGGTTTATCGCATGCATTCTCACAAACATTCGTACTGGTCATCGACGATGGCAAATATAAAATATTGTCTGATCGAATCAGATATATCGACTGATCGATTCCATTTCATTCGTCGCCATGTGAATTATTTACAGTCTCTACAAGAAATCTCGTTGTGATCGGTTGACGTCAAGTCATTTGATGATGTTCGATTGAATAAAGTTCTCATTGGGATTCACCTCATTCGAATTTGCTTGTTTGTGAAATTTTTTGGGGCAGTTTTTTCATGAAACGCTCGCTGATACTCGAATTGAAGCAAAAATTGAAGTGGAATGTTAATGCTCTTATTTGTTAATGTTACTATTGTTATTGTTATCACCAATACCACTATTATTGTCTTGATTATGACTGTTGTTGTTACCCTTATCATTGTTATAGAATCGTTATTGTTTCATACGGGTCTCATCTATTTTTCGTGGTGTATACTCCAATCTGTATCATTTAAACATCGAGTGCTGATGTGCTGTGTTCAGCCAATGTATACATGCGAATAATTCAAAATTTCAATCACAAATTTTATGTTGTTTGTATACATGTTGTTTTCTATTATTTTTGGGATATCCATTTGAAGTGTTCTCCGAAAATTGTCGATATTCATGCCGTTTACAATTAATTGATATCCTCTGATGTTGGCGTTAACTCATAAGGTGAACATATCTTCAGTTGTTATCTTCAGTTGTATTTGAGTGATAACTTGTAAAGTAAAATTATTTGAGTTCAGAAATTTGTTCAGTTATACCTGAGATATGTGGAATACTGAAATTTACGGTGAAGTGCCACGCGCTTTTTACTTTTGAACCAATTTTGGTAATTTAACAATCGTGTGATATACCGATGAAATGTGTTGGCAATCCAAGAAGTGTTTAAAATTCTTGGAAGAGTTTCGAATGTTTCAAGACAAATTATGGATCGATGTGCAAATGAATGCCGATGATAGTGGTGAAATTACGCTTTCTAACATTTCAAAACGTTACTCTGTTTCCAAATACTTGCTGCCCTTAAAGCACACGACTGCGAATGAAACGGCAAATAAGCAATCAAATGAAATCATTTATTCCGTCTGAACAAATTCAATCAACTTGTTATTTTCAACAATAATTCATGACAATTTCACTTAGAAACTGTAAAAATGTGCTGAATGACTGGAGTATTAATGTGATTGACACCGTTAAAATAAGTACTATAAAACGTTTCGTGAAGAGTCGAACAATACGGACTGAATAAATTGGGCGATATTATTTGATTTATATTAAAAAATAACTTTTCAAAATTAACAACTTTAACAACAAAAAGATTCAACAGTGATCATCGAACAAATCAGGTGATCAGTATTCCCTAATGTCCAAAACCCGAGAATCACGTAATAACAATCACAAACAAAGATTTTATTGATCGAGCGTCGATCAATAATCGATAATGACAACTGATCAATATCGGTAATGATCCGGCTTATATGGACCGTCGATTGGTATACCGAGATAGTTGGCTTGATCTTCATTCAACTTTGTCAATTTGACACCTAATTTGTCCAAATGCAATCTTGCTACTTCTTCATCTAGCTTTTTCGGGA